TGAGCTATAAGTAGTAACAAGTTCACTACTAGTATTAGAGAAGACAAACCTAGGAATACACTTGTTTGTGTAAGTTGCAGTTCATCTTATTTGGTAAGACTACAAATGTCCTAATTTGTTTTTAAAAGTAAAATCAATTGTGTATTTATTTATACCAATTTACCTGCCTGCCTGTTCTACATCACTGGGCCTGTATTGATTGTTTGAGATGGAACTCATTCCAAATTGTATCGATTTAAGTCATTAGCAAATTTTTAGCAAAACATATTTTGTGGTTTCAGGACAGAAGTACAGAAAACTCCATTCAGGGACTGCAGGACTAGAGCAGGGGGTATTGGGAGGGGACTAGGATTTCTCCAATGAATAAGACTTAAAATCAGCAATAATACGAATAATATGTTTCAGATAGAAAAAAAACATTTTCTAAACAATAAATAAGAAAAAGGAGCAGGAAAAGCCTAGATACATTGATAAGGGGAAATAAAAATGGGGTGAATAATTCATAAATAGTCAAGTGCATTGGTCATTTTTCAGACATTTTGATTTATGGATTTAAGTGCCTAAAATAGCTCAACAATTTATAAAGGATTTTAAAATCAACAGATCATGGGTAGATTTGTCTGGCTTTCCAGCAAGGCAGTCAAGCTGCATCTGTTACCTTGGTAACTGAAGGTACCTCAGTTACCATGGCTACGCCTCCTTTAAAATACGGTTGGCAATTCCTCACGCCCCAACTTTTGTGACTATTTTGAAGAGGGGGAAAAAAATCCTAGTACTATGTAAACACCCGCATTGAGACAAAAGGTCTGTATAATGCAAATTTTCTCAGCCCACAAGGCCACGTTAAGAATAAGCTAATTTTTCTGTTGCAAATCTTCAGCTCTCAGAGAGACTATGTCATGAAGAACTTGGTCATCACATACCTAGCACAACAGTTCACATCAAAAACCAGCTCTATGGCTCACTGGAAGAAAGTGCATAAATGGACTCCTACCACACTTCAATTTCTCTGTGTATCAAGGTTACCCACAATAGGGCAGCTTCCTGGATTGATTAATGAAACATAGGGGAGGGGGGGAAAGATATGCTGGGTTCTTGTTTCTGAGGCAAAGGAGGTGGCAACAGGAGTGCATTCATTTCCACTGACTCCAATCAGTACCCAAGATAATTTTCCTTATAATCCAGAAGGGACAGCTTTATGCAGGGAACAATTTACTGCACTCAAATTGGCGTGCTCTGAATTATCCTGAGGTTGGAGGAGCATTTATGTTGCCAAGTTGCAAGTAAGGTGTTTATGGAAGTTGTTTGCACCTAATACATGAAGATGAGAAAAGGGCTTTTCCGTCTTTCTGGAAAGTTGTGCACCTTTCCCAAAGCACAGGGCATTCAAGGAAGATGTCACAAAGGAAAGCTTCCTCTTCCTCCTCATTGAGGTTATACTGCAAGTTAAATATAAAAATACTTCAAGCCCTGATGGAGAAATAAACAAACATTTTTTTAAAAATAATCACAAACTTTGATTTTGGCACCTTTTAATTACCCAACTAGTTCTGTGCATTAAAATAATCCTTAACATTTTCTGCCTGGGAAGTAGTTTCTTGTGCTCTCCTAGACGTTCACTCACACATTGTCCATGCCCTAAGCAGGCCTGTGGCAACACAAAATTCCCACAAACCACTCAAGAATCAGAAAAGTAATGGGTGAAAACAGCCCCTCTGGGGTGAATGCTATTTTCCATCCTTGCCAGCTAACAGAATATCTTACTTGAATGCAAGTTCCAGCTTTCTCCTCTGTTGACTTCACACCCAGGACCCTCTCCCCCACTTGTTTCCTGTAGCTGACTGTATTTACCTTACTGCCCACAAGTCTGTGAATTACTTTTTTCAAACAAGTCAGCATTCCAGACCCCTCCTTGATTTTGAAGACCATATTTCTAAATAGACTTTTGTATGTAATAGTTTGCCCATGCTCTTCTTTAAGCAAAGAAAGGTATGCTACAGAAAGGACATGGGACAGCAGGCTGTCTCACATTCAAGAGAGAAAATAAAACTCATCCAGCTGTTCACAGAGAAAAATTACATTCTTGGAATCAATGCATGCTCAATGTCAGTTCATTTCACCCATTTTCCCTTAATTTCTAATGCAGCTTTGTGCCTATTGTAGAGAAGAAACAATAGGGAAGAATTGCTAGGGAATTCTAGAGAAGAATTCCAAAAGTGATTAGTGATTTCTGGTGATTCAAACTTAATGAGTCTCCAACCCAAAATATCCTTACAGGCCAGATTTTCATAAGGTGTCAGTCTGATCCTGTTAAAACATATGATAAGAAATCATAGTGTTAAGGAGTTCAGAGTCTCATGACAAACTACTGCAGTCACTAGAAAGGGTACTGGAAAAGTTCTCACCCTTCTCTAACCCGGAGTGGCCAGTTCTAGAGGTACTGGTGTAGTAGAGTTGCACAAGAAGAACAAACCTCTGAGAGCCTATGTAAATCTACAGCACTGCCCCCCATCCTTTCTACCCTCACCCTTCACGTTTGCTACATGTTGGGACTCACTGCGCTGCAAGGTTAAAAGGAAGAGCATGGCTGAAAGACTGGGCTGGAACTTCTCTACTGGATGGCTTTGATCTCTGCAAACACAAGTTCTGGGGGACTGTATCTTGGCTACCAGACACAGTATCCTAAAAACAGCTCAGCACTCAGAATCTGACAGTCTTACCCATCCTTGTGGAAGTCTGGTTAGTAAGACACATTTTGAATGATAGCTCCTAATTTAGCCCCAGTCTAAGACCTCGATACTGGTAGTTGTGTAGTCAAAGTTAAAACACCACACTTGAGAAACAGAGGCTCTAACATTTCAGCCTCACAATCACCTCTTCTAGGGAATAGTATCTATTTAGTTTGCCTTACAAAACAGCTGCAGAGATTGATACCTATATGCCAACATTTCAACAGCACTTCCAAGGCGTAAAGAGCTTCACACTGTTAAATGCTATGCAATATTTCAGGTTCTTTGCAGCGCAGGTAGGTGAATAATATTCAAATAAAGCTACTTCAAACAAAGGATATTTCCTTTATATTGGAGGATAGAAGTCAGAAACTAAGTTGGCTCCTCAAACACAGTTCACATCATACCTTTACGTGCACTAGAATAAACTAGAGAAATGCAAATACAGCACAGATGGTGCTGTATTTGGTACAGCCAGAATACAGCAAGCAATAAAAGATGAGGATCCTATTATCCCACAAGATGCTGAGTGTACTGCAGGATGCAAGCTAAACACAGTTGCATAATATTGCTAGTGAACCTCTTAAATATTGTAAATTGCTTTCACCTTATGTAGAAAACAATTTTCCTCTAGGTTTAAGCTATGGCTTACCTTGGTTCCTTTTACTTCCATCTTTCTTTTAAGCTTGACTGCATGAGAGGTTGTTTTTGTAAGTATTTGCTTGCTGTTTATGCACCTCACTGTAGATGTTTGAAAGTCTCCTTGTCTCAGTAGTGCTGAGCCTTTTACAGCCCCAACTAAGAGGGTTTAACAGAGGGAGATAGGGCAGCTGCCCAGCACCAAATGGGAATGTAGCTCTCCCAGTAGCTACCTGCAAAGGGCTGTAGGAGCACTTCTGAACTGCTGCAAGCAAGATGACAGTGCTGTGCAACTAGCCCTGCAGCAGTACTCCTGGAAATCCTGTCTCTGTAAGATCTTCACAGTTGCTGACATCAACCTGGTTTATTGGAGAGGGTTAACTGATAGAGGGTTAGTATCACAGCTGCTATATGTGACTCATTAATTTAGCCTTAAAAACATAACAATGAGGACAGGTTTTTTTCAATTGCTCTCCTGCATGTAAGCACAGAGGTTTTGTCTGTCTGTAAGTATGCACTAGTGTGGCTAGATTGGGTACAGTGAACATACACAGTAAGAGAAAATATTTTACCAGGGAAAGAAAGGATGATCCCTCCCCTTTTAATCAGGATAGTGCTGTCAGTGAGGGGAAGGGGAACATGTACTAACTACCCTGTAGTGAATATTATGGTAAGTGCTCATGGGATGGCCAGTGCCCTCTTAAGTTTCGGTTAGAGCTGTCCTATCTCTTCCTGAGGTTTTCTATGGTCACAGTGTGCCTTGTAATCACTTGAAGTCCCTAACAGGCACATGATTTGCCACAGTATTTCAGAGATATCTTCATGGTCAAAGAAAGAACTAACTAGAGCCTCTGTGCCAAGCCCAAAGTGATTCTTTTTATGTAGGCAAACTCAAACTCTGGAAGGCATTTTTGAAATGAAAAATGCTGCCTAAGTTAAAGAGTTACTAGAACATCCTGGAAAATAGGAAATCTAACTAACTAGTGTTATCAAACTCCATAGCAAAAGGACATTTTTCTTATTTTTCATGTATAGGAGCAATAATTCTTAAAGATATAGACAGCATTCAAAGAGATTAAAGAGACACTCTAGGATAGTTAAAACAGACTAAGGTGCTCACTAATGAGAAAAAAATTGCTTTCCCTAAATATTACATTTACAGCCAGGCATCCCCACAGTCCTTGAGACAAGTATTAGATACCCAATATATAAACATGTGTGTATATTTAACATATTTCTAGGTGTAATTTGGCATATTATAGGTTTTATATAAGTTATATATTAGTATGATGTATTATTGTATGCATATTATAAATGTTATGCAGGACATTGTATGTAACATATATACTATGTAGTATTGTAATATAGTATAACTAGTATGTGTGCAAATATATACATGTGTTTAGAATTTATATCTTAATCTTATTCTATACATATACAAAAAGATTCTTTTTATTCTACCATCAGTAACACACATCTTCATATACACTTAGGATTTTATTATTTATTAAGTGGAAATCTGCAGCCACTCTGCCACAGCAAGTGAATTCTGAAACTCTTCAGCTACTTGTGGGGACTAGCACTGGGGAAGTATTCTATATTTTGGAGCATTACCATGAATATATACATTACCATTCCTCGATCGTGTGTTGCAGGCAACATAACACCTTACTGAGAACTCGATATTGATAAAAAACAGTCAGCACTCACTGGGTCCAATACCTTCAATCTTGGTGGTCTAAGATAAGACAGGATATATGACAAAGACTATTTCGGAAGTTGCCTCAAAAAAGCTACCAACACAGTTTTCTAAGTTATTTTGTCACTAATTCGTATATTTAAAATGGCTTACAGCCAGTCAAAACTGAGTACTGGCAAATATTGTTGTCAGTAGAGATTTTGTATGAGCGAGGATGCTACCATCCAATGCATTATCCTTGCACAAATTAATCTGTGTAATAGTCTCTGCCAAACTGGGAATGAAAACATTTTTTGCCTTCCCAAATATTTTCTCATATGCTGTAATAGTTGTTGGAGTTTCTTAATGTTTTATAACAAATGAATAAAGTGATAGGACCAGATAATTTAGATATTTGGTATTTAGGTTTTGTAGAACAAAGGAACGAAAGATGTCAGTATTTTTTAATATATTTAGGCTATCTAGGAGCTTATTAGGTCTTTTCTGCTACACACTGCAGTGTTAAGGAAAGAATGGTGGCCATAATGCTTTAAAAGCACAAATTGATAGATATGGCTTAAGCTAAGTGAATTACTGTGGGAGGAAAAGTGTCTACAATACACTGTTAGTCACTATCTGTAAAACAAAAAAGTTAATGAAAAAGGTTTTCACTAAAATGAAGCAATCATCAAAATGCCTGGGGTTTTTACACCTCATTTTCAGCCACCTTGTTAAGAAGCCTGGCTTTTCAGGGACTACACCATCTGTGACATCCATGTATATCAGCTGCAGTAAAAGCAGGAAATCCTGAGCTCAACATTTAGTGACACCAAAGGGATCCCAGGGCTTCCAGTTTTTCAGAGTGTTATTTTGAGTGCCTCATTTCTGAGGTGCTCAGCTCAACTATCAGAGGGTAAGCACTTAGCTGCTCCCAGAATTCAAAGACTTTTGGAACATCTCTCATGGAGAGGTTAGAAAACGAGGTTTCAAAACTCCATTGTCAAATACAAAAAAGCTGGTCTGCATCTCCAAAAGGAGTTCTCTCACAATTACTTTTGCTACAGTATTGCTTTTGGGGAGAAACTGGATTAAGGACTCCACCACTGCAGCCACTGCAGACCCAAACTGCTCACTTTTGGGGGCTGATGCCTTCTGGATCTTCCCCTTAGTCCTGCATAGGAGCAGCCATTATCTTGACTGACACACCCTACCAGCTATTGGTGAGTGCACATGGAGGATGTGCAGAGAGATTTCACACGCTGTCCAAGGGTGGTTATGTAGCCAGCCTACCCACATTTTAAGCCACTAGAGATCTGACAGCTGCTTATTTTAATTTGTCTTGAAGCAGAAGCATTGTTGTCTGAATACAAACACAATCTGGAACTCACTCCAAATACTTTGGCTCAAAAATCACAGGAGAAAAGTTGGCCTTGTATGTTAGGTTAGGGAGTTCTGTATTCAGGACAAAGGCTTGCTACGTATTTCTGGTGTTTCCCTGTGAAGTTTTGCACTTAATACCTCCACATATTAGAGTGTTTCCTCTTGCAAAAAAATATTTAAGCAGGGCACACTCTTTGTAATGGAGCTGGAGACCACCAAGTACCCTCTGTCTGCTTCATGCCCAAAACAATTTTATTCCTTGAGTCCTAGTGCACAGCTGAGTTTGGCGAATCAAACTGCACTGAGGGTGGGCCATAAAACCCTACAGAAATGTGTCTCCTGCTCTATGAAAGGCTTCTAGCACCACTCTAAACATATGTTTGAGAGAGGCTGTACTCTGTATAAGCGTGAATTGAGCCACCTTTGGGCAAACCACAGTGCGGAAGCTGTAACAAAAAGGGGGAAAAGACTGGCAGCAAGTTAGAGAGGAAGGAAGTGTGATTTTCTCAGGAGATAAAATAGCATCCAGAACAAAGGTGGTGAGGTGAGATCCTGAAAATCCTAATGCATGACACTACCACCAGTCATTGCTACAAAACTCTCCTTTTCAGTTCAAAACAGGAAGTATGCAAAGTCCTAAAAAAGGTTACGTAGTGCCTAACAGAAAAAGACTGAAAAAACTAGTAATAATAGGCAAGTTCCCTGATTTTATTTGTCATGTTAGTTTATGTTCCCATGTGAATTGATACCTGGCTTTCTCATTTTCTTTAATTCTAGGGCATTTGACAGAACTGTCAGCTAAAAAGTGTGTGGCATCATTTGAAAATGAGATTAATAACTATATTGAACTTATGCAGCAAAAGCATGAGCATATGAAAACAGGAGTCTAGGACACATAGAACATTTGAATTTTTAGTAGTTATTAGTTTACAAAAGAAGGAAAACATCTGCAAATTTCTAAATGCTTAGCTGTCTGTGATTGGTATGACAAAAATGAGTAAGCGTAAGATGTAACAAAGATGATTAAGGTTAGGCATTAGAAAAAAAAAACAACAGATAAAATGTGGTGAAGCACTGGGATACATTTCCTGCAGGATTTCTACAATATTCATCATTAGAGGTCTTTAATAACAGTCAATATAGCTGTCTTTCAGGAATGATCAAACACTGTGTTTTGGGACAGGGGAATGACATTTGGAGGTCCCTACCAAATGAACACTTCTGCAGTCCCTCAAAGAGATGTGAGGATTACTTTCACATTTACAGCTCCTTCTGTGTTGTCCCGTATACCCACCTACCTGCACATGTCTTGGGGCTTTTGGATCAGGACTCTATGCATGTTAAGAACTTCCCTTTGAGTTGTTGCTGAGCAATATGAAATATTTCTTACTCCCACCATACTGTCTCCATATATTTCTCACTACCAGTCAGACTAGGGAGTAGCAAGGAAGCTTGCAAAATAAATTCACATCTCTTCTGTGGCAATGTTCCTATTAAATCACAAGATTTAATCTATCCAAATGAAACTGGACAATTTGCTTGTGAAGAACCATTCCAACCTTTCCCTGGTGACCAGCTGGCTGGCCATGTGGTCACTGAGAAATACTGTACATACCATACTTCTAGTTCTGATGCAGTCTTTCTTATCCCAGTAACTACCTTGTCAAAGCACATGGCTGCCTGCTAGGAATAACATTTGAGAGATCTGCTTCTAATTTATTTATTGCAATGTCAACACCGAATAACTTAAGCATATTTTCCACAGATGACTGCACATTTTTTTTAAGACGCTGTTTCATGTCTGTGTGCCACCAAGCAGTCCAAAATTTTTTTGCAAGCTGTCATATATTTTTTGACATTATATAACCATTTCATCCATGAGCTGCTAGTGGACTTTTTCTTTGACTCTGGAGCAAGCTTTGTCTGTCTGCAAGCCTACTTCTTCCATTTGTCTCAGCGAGGAAACATGAATCTGAATAGTCTTGTGAGTGAACCAGTATGTTTGCTGGTGTGAGCTTCTCTATTGATTGTCTTATCATCTCACTGAAAGAAGACAGACTGCCAAGATAATCATTTCCCCCTTCACAGAAGAGCTTGGTGGTTACATCTGAGTGTGCCTTTGTATACTTTATCACACCTACAAAAGCAGAACTGTTTTTTTCCCTTTGTAAATAATTTTAATTTCATAATCATTGCTCAAAGGATCTTGAAACATCTTACATTAGGATTCTTAATGGAATATTACAGAGCTTGCTTTTTGACGGAGTCCTAGCTCTTGCTCACTTCCACAGCATTATCTGGTTGTTAGTATCATGTGCCTACATTTAGTCATTCGATCAGTCACACAGATTCAGTATTTCTTTCAACAATTCAGCAGATTTACTTGCACATTCAGAATGAGTCATTTGTTTGACTCAGGGTCCATATCTCTAAGAAAGCCTGGAAAAATCGGTCTTGACAGATAATAAAGTGGTTATACAGCTAAATATTTTAAAGCAGCTTTCATTTAACCCATACTTCAGCTGAACTGCAGCAAAAAGATTGTTAGATCTCTATTGTTAACATTCTGGTGATACATGGACTGAGTTTTAATTGAAGATTGGTTAAAGTACAGCTTTCAGACTAAAATAAAAACTAGGCAAAGCTTTGCAATTCCAATCACAAGTAGAAAATGTTGGCTGCTTCAGGCAGGTGTAAGAGTTTTCAGAGACAAACCTCAAGCAGATGGACTACTGTAAAAGAAAGTGAGTAAGTATCTTAAGAGATGCCTTGTGAATGGAAATCATGGGGGTTTATGCAGGCTAGCAAAAAGCATAAGACTCTGGGTATAGTTGAGTGACTGATGTTTTGTAGACACCTAACTCATGGGTTGCCAGCACTGATCTGAAATTCTTCTGAGGCTAGCTTGTTGCTGCAAAATATACAGCATTTACTGGTCATAGACTTCCTGAAAAATTACTCGACTTGGGATTTTTTTATTATTCTCCCCACCTGCTCCCTGACTCCCCTCCATTTTCTCCCCCAACAAAACAAAAAAAAAAAATAAAACACCCAACGCCAACATACTGGATCTCACTAATCATAATATACTTTCTGGAAGCCCCACAGCACTAATAGCTGCATCATTTCTCCTGTGGAGACAAAGGTGAGAGTGTTCTCATCTCCCACTTCAGTGTTGGCAAGTCCTGAGTTCACCTATGGAGAATCAGCAAATCTCACGCTGATCAGACACCCTACTCATACAAGCTAAGATGACAGCTGCTTAGCTCCCATGCTTTGTTGGTTCAACAGGACCAGGAGAGTTATGAGGTAGTGATTTAAGTATTTTTGTCATTGAAACCAAATCTCACTTGAATAGATCAGTATAAAGAGATGATGCCACTTCTATCAAAAATTTCCTGATCCTTCAACAGCTGCAGTTCAAACAAAATACCATCTTCCTTTGCCTTGCACCCAGAGTTTCAGGGAAGGGTAGAATTTCCTGAATTTCTCTATAAAACGATACGGATTAAGAAACACCTTTTAAATACTTCTGTTAGTAGTTGCAAAGGGAGAGGCTGACAAATCTCTGAGCGTGATCTATTTCTTTTCTCCCATTTGGCTTGAGACAGGATTGTTAAATGATTCTGAGCAGTATTAGGGGAGAAGAGCACCCTTCTGTGGTATGCACCTTCTAATAA